TAAGGTCTCTATAGCAGGCCAGGGTGTTTCAGCCAACCAGTAAACATTTTTGAACTAGGCTCCTTCCTATGGCCTTCCTTTTTCTTGGACTTTCTCTCAGCAATTGCTCCGGGAAACTGGAACAAACGTCTATCCTAGTTTATCACAGTGGAGCCAGCCATGCTCCTTCCCGACATCATCACCTTTCTCCATCTCAAAGTATAATTATTGAGTCTTGGAAGCACCTCGGTGAACTCGCTTAGTGACCTGTGTGCAAATGTGGCAGGTTATATTTTCCCAAAGTCACCCCAGTAAAATTTCCAGTCTCACCCTCTTCCAGAACCTGTCTCTCTTCATCAAAAAGCAGATTCTAATTAGTCTCCCTCTGAACCTGAGTGGGACTGATGACTGCTTCCATGGATAGAATGTGGTAGAAATAATGACTTATGACTTGTGAGGCGAGGTCAGAGGAGATAGAATTTCTTCCCTGCTCCCTCTTTTGCAGCGCTTGCGTGGGGAACACAGCCATCATGCTCTGAGGAAGTCCAACCCAACTTGCAGAGAAACCACATGGAAAAGTGGAAACTCCTGCTGACGGCCAGCATCCACCTGCTAGACGTGTGTGAATGAGCTCTCAGATGAGTCCAGCCCCCAGCCCTGACGACCTCCAGCTGAGGCCCCAAACATGGGTTATAGGCTTAAAACACATAAACTCCCCGAGGCTACCGAGCTGGGCAGGGGTGGAGCTCACCCTGCAACGGTAAAACCCTTTGCCACTTTACAAGAGCAGGCAACTGTGCTGAGAAGGCAGAGAATTTCACTGGTTTCTCCCAGCAGTTCTCAGAAAATGCAAAAATATCCTTTTGGCCTCCAATCAAAAGCCTCTGAGGAAAAAGTCCCCAAGTGCACAATAGAGAATTGTGTGGCAAACGCGGATCCAGGACTTCCAGTAGGAAGCCCGGCTGAGAAGGAGCATTCTCTGGGACCCTTAATAAGCCTCTCCAGCCCAAGTTACTTGTGTGATTATGCAGCTGGCAAGATTACAAGAAACATATGGAAAACAGAACCACAGACCAGCGGCACACCCAGGAGCAAAGAACAAAACTGAGCTTTAG